CCCTGCCCCCCCACCCACCATGCCCAACCCCCCCGCCCCCTCCCGTCCCACTGCAGCCTCTCATTAATCAAAATGATTAATCAAAACTCAGTGTGAAATCCTGCTGAATCAGCGTTAATCTTGGTGTAAACGTCGTTTATCATACCTCACCACAGCATAATTCTCTCTGTACCGCACAGCAGGAGAGAGCCCAGGTGTGGACGACGCTTTCAAAATCCCAAGGGGACGGCTATTAAAAACCAGACGGATACATAACGGGACAGCGTGCCTTTAGATGGGGACGACAACAGTGACAGTGAACACGACATGCCAGGTAAACAAAGCACATAATGTAACAGTCCGATCATGTGACAAGAAGTCATGGATAAGCCAGGTTACACAGTGTGCCGGTCATGGTGAGCTACAGGAGAGATTCAGGGCATCTGAGACCCCGGAGAGCCATGACTTGGCTGGGTTAGGCTTTATATAAACAGCACAATGCCATCAGAAAGGAGACACCCGTGAAAATGGGCAGTCAAAAAACTAGGCAACTCTGCCTGAAAATATTCAGCTTACCAGAAAATATGTGGCAGCTGGGTCCTGTCGCCTGCACCCTCTCGCTATCAGAACCACACGCAGCTCTCTCTGTTACCAAAACGTGCCCCCTGTGATGTCATCAGTGGGCATTTAAGTCCCAGCTGCTACAGTTTTGCCTGTCGTCTGGCCGTTGATGTGATGCTGTTTTCCAGTAAGCATGTCACCCCCAACTGTGCAGATAACAGGCCAGGTCACTTTATAAACAAGGATGACCCGGTTTCAAGATGCCTGCTGCGCGCCTCCATAGTCCTCTATAAAAAAACAAATCTCATGAGGAAACTCCCCATGACTAAATGAAATGTCCAGATAGCCAGTCAATGCATTAGCAATAAATATTTCCAGTACTGAGAGCAGCTCAGTCAAACTCTTTCATCATCAAGGGTAAAAAAAGAAAGAAAATGGACTGTATGTAAGGTTATTGCATGTGCTATTCTGGAAAGCTCATTGTCAGGGAGGGAGGGAGGCCTGTTTTTATTTTATATAGGAAAACAGGCAGGGACCCGTAGTGGTGGAATCCCAACCCGCATCCCCAGAGCGCTGCCTCACCCGTCTGTCCATCTGCAGAAGCGAATCCAGGTGAGGCTCATATTTTATACTGAATATTTCCCCCTAAAACCATATTAAAGGCTGCGTACGTGAGCTTCGTGTAAAGGCTGCGTACGTGAGCTTCGTGTAAAGGCTGCGTACATGAGCTTCGTGTAAAGGCTGCGTACGTGAGCTTTGTGTAAAGGCTGCGTACGTGAGCTTCGTGTAAAGGCTGCATACGTGAGCTTCGTGTAAAGGCTGCGTACGTGAGCTTCGTGTAAAGGCTGCGTACGTGAGATTCGTGTAAAGGCTGCGTACGTGAGCTTTGTGTAAAGGCTGCGTACGTGAGCTTCGTGAGGTTAAATGGCAACCTGGTGTGGATCTGACCAGAGGAGAGGTGACAGGATAAACACGCACACACACACGCACACACACACGCACACACACATGCACACACACACACGCACACGCACATACACACACACACACATGCACACACACACACACACACACATGCACGCACGGCCATCTTCTATTACCGACAGCGTATCTAGGATGAGGTGAGCCACCCAGCATCACCAGTAACACCCACCGCGCCGCTGACGGGAAGGCGTGGCCATTTCTGCGGGGGAGTCATGTGATCAGGCGTATTGTCCTGGTCCTGTTCTCTCCCACAGAGTCTTGCCTCTCCTGGCCTTTCCTCACCATCAAGCGCTGGACCTGTTCCTACTCCCCCCACCCCTAATAACCCAGGTCACACTACCTTCCCATCTCTGACATTACATCATTTCACAGGCAGTTTGCACTCACCTGTGTAGAAGGATATTCTGGAAATGTCTGCAAGAGAGGAGAAGAGCAGAACAGTCAGTCAGGCGTACAGGACAGTGACTGGGGGAAGGGGGGGGGGGATATCAGCCCTCCAGCAGTGAACGGTGTGGGGGGGGTCAAATCAGCCCTCCAGCAATTGGGGGGGGGGAACGCAGTGTTATTCTTGCCCTGTTTCCATCCGAGCTGGATCATTCACAGCACCTGTTAGCCATCTCTGCGTGGGGGGGGGGCTCATCCAGTGACACAGCCCACCCCCAGCCCCACGCAAGGATGCTGAATGGATGTGGCAGCTTTCGGTCAGGCTTCCTCCATTACAGCGTCATGGTACAGAATGATGATGATGATGATGATGATGATGATGATGGTGGTGTGATGAAGCTCCCCAAGCTGGTGAACTACCCACATACAGTGATCAGTGAGACACTCTGACAGATGCGGGGGGAACCGCATTCACACTCAGCAGAGGTCAGAGGTCACTCTGCTCTGCAACTGTATCACACGCCGCTGTCCTGCAGCTTTCATCAGGGGAGGGGCCTCCTCACTCACCTCCTCGCCTGAGCCTAAATGGGCGTCTTGCTTTTCGTCCCTTGCAGATTCTTTACCACAACACCCACTGGCACCCCAAACACAATGGCCCCACCCTGTGCCACATGACTCAGCCTAGCAGTATAATACCCCTGAGGGGCGCATACACAAGGGGTCTCATTGGGAAGCTATGCAGTACAAGACAGGGGCGTTAAAATCGCATTAGTGACGTCAGGAAGACAGCTGGTCACACCCCAGCCAAACGCTTCACTGCAGATTCAGCTGTATTTACCCACAGACACAAAACGATTTCCCATGCAGTCAATGAAGGAGGAACAAACAACAACAAACTACACCAGGAAAAACCTGCCGTGCAAATTCTGATAAACGTCTGGTGAATGTGCCTCATTTCAGAGAAACCCTGAGATCTGCAGTCTTTCAGCTAAAGTGACGTCCCGAAACGTGTTTCACATTTTCTAATCATGATATTCGTCCAAATATTTATTTAGTGGTGGTGAAGCTGCTGTGTGGGAAACGGCATATAGATGGCAGAAATTCTGCGTTCGCTCAAAGGCCCTCAGACTATCTGTGAACTAGCTTCCATAGCGACTCAGCTCTGCCTCAACCGGGGACGAAACTGCAGGGACAAACTCGCAGTCTTTCTGCAGGATTCACAGAAGACACCAGGACTGCTGATCAGTTGCATTTATGAAGACATGCAGCCCCCCTGTTTTGATCCTCTAGCTTCAACCAACACGTCCCACAAAAGGAAATGAAAGACCAGGGAAATGCACCTTAATCTTCTTGTACTGCAAAGGCACAAAGCTCTCTATTTTTACTTCTATTTCTATATATAACACAGATACAGTAAAATCCCATTATAGTGGACTCGCTTATAATGGAATATCATCTATATTTTTTGCTGGCCTGCGGAAAAAGCAGAAAAAGCATCGGATATAGCGGACTTGCATATAACAGAATTTTACTTATAACAGACAAACAATTTGGTCCCCAGGGCCGCTTTTAGCTGTAGTTTTGTTTGGCTATAACAGACATGCAGGCTCCGCCTACAAGGCGTGTGGCGTCCTGTCGATATCCAGCGCAGATACGATTATTAATAGTCACGGTATGTAAATAGGCATGGTGTAACAGCAGGCAACACTGATTGGTCTGTGTGGCTGTCCATCACCAGGCACGCTGTGCGTCGGCAAATGACACTCGCAGCTGGAGGGATGCAGTAAGCAAAGAGGTCATATACCGGACTGTTTTGCCAGATCCCTTAAAGTCCGTTAGCATTGTACTGTATGTAGTATAGCAGACAGGTACAGGTACACTGGAGTGCTGCTTTTCACATATACCATTCTCTCGTTTGAGTCAAACACGCGCATATAGAGGTGAAAGCAAAGCTAGCCTGAGTGCCGGGTCAGCCGTGTATCCAGTGCAACAGGAGCAACTGGGGGGGGGTTAAAGGTCTCGCTCAAAGGCAACGGGTGACATTCCAGCAGTCTGGAGTCAAAGGCAGAAGCCAGAATCTACTCACCCATAGTCAGAGGCGTTATCTACTGTGCCACTTCCTCACACACACACACACACACACCTATATCTTTGTAGGGACTCTCCATTCATTGTGGGAAGAACCCTAATCCCAACTATGACAACCGTAACCCCACCCAGCCCTAACCGTAACCATAAGTAACAAAACACAAGAGTTTTGGCATTTTTAGTTTTTTGATTTCATTCATAGATTTTTATAAAATTGAGTTTTCACTTGTGGGGACCAAAAAAAAATGTCCCTACTAGGTCAAAATAAAAGGTTATCATCACATTGTGGGGGACATTGTGTCCACACAATGTCATATATACATGACCACAGGCATAACGCTCTGGCACAGACAGACACAGCCGGAGCCTTGGATGATCAGTTCAGCATAAATACAGTAATAGCAGGAGAAGCAAAATGATTCATTTAACTGACAGATTAATTGTAATGGTGCATAAATCCGGGATGCAGAAAGCACTAAGGAGCCTGCAGAGGGCTTATTCTCCAATTTGTAAACATGAATATTTAATTAAGGAGTAATAATGAAGAAGCATTAAATATGCGAGTGAACAAGGCTTCAGCGTAGTGTGGTGGCAGAATATGGTTATGATAGAGCTGTTTCAGGCACACTGTGTTTATCCTGACTCCTGCAACACACAGCAAAGCAATAAAGAGGAAGACTTTATGGTGGATAGGTTTAAAAGCTGCACTTTTCGCCACCATGGATCTTATAGTGCGATATATAGGAAGATAATTAATGAGCAAGCTGTTTACTTTAGAACCAATTAAAATTTGTATGAATTTATATCACGGTTTTGTTCAGATGCTACGCATGCATGCATGGATGAGCATATTCTGATCTTGCGATTCTGCAGAGAGGTTAGACAGTAGGAAGTTCACCTTGTGCTGAGGTTTCCTGATGCCTCCCTGGCAGCCACACAAAGACTCACGCAGGACTTCATCTTATCTCACCATAACTGATGGCTCTCTGCATGCATCATCCATATCAGCGGCTGCTCTCACTATGCCAATGTTTTTGCTTCCTCCCGGCTCGCAGTAGGAGGACTGTCTACCCGGGAACTGGGAGGGAGCAAAAACGGGAACCATCAGAGGGTCCCCAAGGACCGGATTTGCAAACACTGGCTTAGGGGACATCAGAAAAGCAAGGAGATACTCAAGGGACGAGCTTAAGTGAAGCGTGAGATACTTACCATTAAACGGCCCTTCCGTTAAAGCATGATCTGTTGAGATGTTATGATTTTAGAGTAAAAACAGCACTAAGTCCAGATAAAGAGCAAAGCCAGGCATGACGACGGCAACTTGCTCATTTTCTGCTTTTGAGTTCAGTAATGCAGCGAGAAGATGAGACCGAGGCAGCCTGAATAATTTAGGCGAGAACCACAAACGAAACCACAGGCAGCAGGAGCAAGGCACCCGCGCAGGGGGTGGGGGGCAGGGACGGAGCTAGGGACGGACGGTCGGAAAGCACACATGACAGGGGGAGCAGGACGGACCCCCCCCACAACAGACACAAGTTTAGCGGATGTTCGCTAGCTTCCTGAAGCCCAGAGCGAGAGCGTGCGGGACATACGAAGAAACTGCACCCTGATCAATCAGGGGGGAACAAAAAATCTCTCATCCTGAAAACGCCTGCAGCATCCATCCATCCTAACCATGAATCCAGGCTGATGACTTGCGCAGACACCGACCGAATCCACGGCTTTTCCTTGGAACTGACGAAAACAGGATTCGTTATCTCATGACGGTCAGGGAGTTCAGGAGGAAAATGGCCTGGCTGCAGATTTGATTTCTGAATAAATGACTTGGGAGAGCAGACCTCAGGGTGGCGGGAGTTCAGGCAGCGGTAACCACGACGTTGCCCGCGGCGACAGCATCATACCAACGCGACAGTAAGGAAGAACGACAAAGGAAGAGCTCATCCTGACAGCTTTCCGGCGCTGACCCCGGCAATTCCTGCACGCATCCTTCCAGGACAAACAGCATTATCACACCCCCTGCTGCTGTGCTCCACTGGGGCAGGACGACACTAGAGGTGATGCTTCCCTTTCTGCGATTTTAGGGCCAGACGCTCTCTGGGGAATTGTTCACCAAGACAACAGAGCTCTGATTTCTCACACAGTCTGATGTCTCACTGCAGCATTTCCATATCCTCTTAAAATATCTAAACAGGGAAAAAAAAATAATTCTGATTTTCTGCCAGTTACAGTGTTTCTGAAAGTTCCGTCAGCTTAGAGCAGCAAACCCAGCTGACGTGGACCTAGAGCTGGCCAGTGCAGCCGGGGGTGGTTGGTGGGGGGGGCATTCAGGGAACAATAAGCCTCCAGGAAGTGCCCCCCTGCCGGGGGCATCCTGCAGACACACATCAGCAGGCAGTGAGCACAGCCCCTAACCTCGATTGCATGGGGCCTTTACACTGGGGGGACTTAACACTAGGGCTGGGCAATATGGTTGAGAAACATGCTGTAGGTCACTGAATCGTTATAATCGATATTAATAATACATTTCTAAATTACTTTTTAAAAGTCAGGACAAAGTCAAAATGAATTATGGTTTTATTTATTCACATCAATATTTGCCAACTGGAAAACATAAAAAGTGCATCTCTGCTGAAGAAAATATCAAGATAGGTGCAAAATATCCAAGTGCCTGAAAAGTAAACAAATATTTCAAGTATTTAACTATTAGATTGTTCAGGTAAATACTTATATTCAAAATAAGACATCGCATAACATTTTTTTTCAGTGCTGTTTTGTTTCTCTGCTGAACTGTTTCACATGAACCAAAGGTACAAAAAAAAAACCAAATTACAACGAATTACAAACAATTACCTGCCTGATTTGTAGCTCAGACGTCTGCGCATGTGCGGTATTTTTGACCAGAGGATGTGAAAGACGATGAAGGTGTGTGAAGAGAGTTCCTCAGA